TTTCAGCCTCGTGTCACAGCTTCAGTGAGCACCCTGCACAAAGGTGATGTCACTTTGACTGCTAGCCCGCTCACTGCAGTACGGTGTATGATGTTACGACTCCCAGATGTTTCCCGGAGTCGTCTCTGCCACGACTCACTCCACGCTCGCCGGCAGTGACAGCCCCAGCAACAGTACCAGTCGAGAAATGTCTTCCTGAGTTGCTTGCCAGAAGAAGTCCTGCCCAGTTGCCAAGTGCTGACGATGCCTCACACGAGGTCACCAGCAGGTGCAGCAACTACTATGATAAACTGTTTCACCATTCCAGAGGAGACCGTACCCTGTTACATCACAGTTCAGCCACAGTGATGTCTCTTGTGTTGCAGTATCTGTCCAAATGCAGGAAGGTGTGCAGTGATGCCTATCGTCGCTCACTGCCTATGACCATGATGTTTTTTTTAGCACACCCCCACCTTTTTTTCTTCCCTCCATATAGGAAGCTTTTTTTTCCATATCCATACGTATATATGTTTTTATTTTGTGTTCTGTGCCCTGTTCCTGCGAGAGAGAGACCGAGTTTTTTTTTACCGCCATTCATGGTCAGGGTCGACCATGTGGTAGGTGGCCGAGGGAAATGTAGCCAGTGAGCCTACATGCTTAACTCCCATAGTTTACACCAAAGGCCAGGCCTCTCGGTAGGCATTCCAGCCTATTCACCCCTGCCTCTCACTGTCTCAGCGGCCTTCACTCAGTCAACAAGGCCTACTCCTCTCTCCCACTCGGACATGCCCCCCCTTGGGGCCATGGGCACATTGCCTGCATACCTAGATATCGCAAATAAAGTAAGAACCCTCCGAAGCCTTTATCACTGAACCCCGCCTGCAACAACGTGACAAATAACCATATTTGAAAATAAATACACTGGAACTTAGCTTCACTTACAACGACGACCTGATGCGTAATATAACCATATCAAAGACAATACACTCAGATCACAACATAACAGAGGTACAGACATGTATGTGCAGGGTTCCTGACCACCAAACTGTGATCAGTCATAAGGCTGTCTGCACAAAATTCAAATTCAATAACAAAAACATACAAAGGGAACAAGTCAACCATGTCCTAAATGAAACAAACTGGGAAGATATTTTAAATAACATAGATCCGAACCTTTACCTAGAAAAAATTAACTCTGTGGTTCTCGAGATCTGCTCAACACACATTCCATTAAGAAAAAGAAAGAGAAGATGTAAACTAGAAAGAGAGACGCGAAGGCGAAAAATCACATATCTGTTGAGAGGGGCCAGTATATCTGATTATTATAATAAAAAAGAAGCGTTAAACCTACAAGGGTTTTACAGCGCAGCAGTATATCTGAAATACGAGGGACGACACTGATCACAGACAAGAATATCAGGAAGAACTTAAAGCCATAAAGGAAATTGAAAGAAACTCAAATTATTGGACCCAGTATTGGACCCCTACTTAGACGAGATGGGACCTACACAGATGACAGTAAAGAAATGAGTGAGATACTAAAGTTCCAACATGACTCAGTGTTCAGAGAGCCGTTAACCAGACTAAGGTCGAAAATCTATTTTTTTTATGAGACTCAAAATTTGGTCATTTAAAAAATCTCTGATATTATCCTAACACCACAAGACTTCGAAAAGGTAATTATTGACATGCCCATGCACTCTGCAAAAAGCCACTATCACTTGCCTACAGCATTTTATAGAGAGGAAGGATAAACACAGGGGTCTTCCCACAGTCACTAAAAACAACAGACATAGCCCCACTCCACAAAGGTAGCAGTAAAGCAATTGCAAAGAACTACAGACCGATATCACTAACATCCCATATTATAACAATCTTTGAAAGGTTCTAAGAAGCAAGATCGCCAACCACCTAGATACCCATTAATTACACAACCCAGGGCAACACAGGTTAAGAGCATGTCGCTCCTATTTGTCCCAGCTACTGGACCACTATGACAAGGTCCTCGATGCCCAAGAGAGATGAACAAAATAGAGATGCATTATACACAGACTTTGCAAAAACCTTCTACAAGTGCAACCACAGTGTAATAGCGCACAAAATGCGTGATAAAGGAATAACAGGAAAAGTTGGTAGATGGATCTATGACTTCCTAACAAAGAGAAACACAAAGGGTAATAGTAAACAGGGTAAAGTCTGAGGCAGCTACAATGAAAAGCTCTGTTCCACAAGGCAAGTACTCACTCCCATCCTGTTCTTCACCCTCATATATGACACAGAGATGCAAGCCATAGCTCCGTGTCTTCCTTTGCGGATGACACCCAAATTGCCAAGACAGTGTCCCCCATGCAAGACTCCAAGTGGACATCTACCAAATCTTTAAATTAGCCGCAGAAAACAGTATGAAGTTCAACGAAGAGAAATTTCAACTACTTAGATATGGAAAACTTGAGGAAATTAAAACTGTATCAGGGTATACAACAAATTCTAACCATACAATAGAGCGGAAAACTAATGTGAAGGACCTAGGAGTGATAATGTCAGAGGGTTTCACCTTCAAAATCCACAACAATGTATCTACCGCATCTGCTAGAAAAATGACAGGACACCAAGCCCATGAAGATTCTCTTTAAATTGGGTGTTCTCTCTAGGCTGGAACACTGCTGCACACTTACTGCCCCCTTCAAGGCAGGCGAAATTGCTGACAGAGAACTTTCACGGCACACACAAGTACGATAAAGTACCTAAATTACTGGGAACTGTTGAAGTCCCTTGATTTGTATTCCCTGGAATGCAGGCGAGAAAGATATATGATAATATACTTCTGGGAAATCCTAAAGAGATTAGTACCAAACTTGCACACGAAAATCACTCCCTACGAAAGCAAAAGACTAAGCAAGAGATGCATTATCCCCCCCACTGAAAAGCAAGGGAGCCACGAGCACGCTAAGACACACAATAAGTGTCAGGGGCCCAAGACTCTTCACCTGCTTCCAAGCATACATAAGGGGGATTACCAATAGACCCCTGGCTGTCTTCAAGAAGGTGCTGGACAGGCACCTAAAGTCAGTACCTGATCAGCCGGGCTGTGGTTCTTACGTCGGTTTACGTGCGGCCAGCAGTAACAGCCTGGTTGATCAGGCCCTGATCCACCACGAGACCTGGTCTCAGAACGGGCCGCGGGGGCATTCACCCCCGAAACCCACGTAAGCAAACACTATGACATATTTATTAGAAAACGTTTCGGTCCTGGGACCTTGATCACTTCTAACATACAGAGGTAGAAAGACATTATATATATAGGCGGAGAGTGAGGTGTGAGTGACGCACGTGACCTGAGGAATGCCATAAGAACATAAGAACATAAGAATGGAGGAACACTGCAGAAGGCCTACTGGTCCATGCGAGGCAGGTCCTTATCAAAACAACCTCTACCTATGATGAGGACGGGTAGACGATGAAATCATGTGACTCCTGTGTTGTTGGGTTGGTGCTGCTTAAGTATCATGTATGCCAATGTTTTTGAAATTTTGTAGTTTCCAGTGTTGCGTTCTACAGTGTCGGTGACGGCGATTAGTGAGGCTTCTAGGCACCGTCGGCGTCTGAGGTCTGGTTCGGTGAGAACGAGTTGTGCCTCATTCCAGTTCATCAAATGCCCCGTGGAGTCTCTGTGGAGGACACAGGCGTACCTTACATCGTCTCTGTTAGAGGCATTTCGATGCTCATTCAAGCGGACTGCAAGATCTCTGCCTGTCTCGCCTACATTTTTCTTGGGACAGAACCCACAGGGGATAGTGTAGACGCCTGCTGTAGAAGTTAGAGGTGTGGGGCTGCGTTTCGTAGTGAGGTCTTTGATAGATTATGTGTTTATGGTGGAAGCGTTGATGTTACTCATAGCAACACTGGAAACTACAAAATTTCAAAAACATTAGCATACATGATACTTAAGCACTACCAACCCAACAACACAGGAGTCGTGATGAATGGTTTGAAAAACCGACAAGTTGAAGATTGAGACACTTATGCAGCATATGGAAATCTTTATTCAGGAAACGTTTCGCCACACAGTGGCTTCATCAGTCCAATACAAAGAGGAAGGCGTAAGGAGAGGAGGAGAATGAGGTAATCAGTCCCTCAACCTGGAGTCGATGTGTTCAGTCCATCAATCTTGTACAATCTTTGATACATTCTACAAGATTGATGGACTGAACACATCGACTCCAGGTTGAGGGACTGATTACCTCATTCTCCTCCTCTCCTTACGCCTTCCTCTTTGTATTGGACTGATGAAGCCACTGTGTGGCGAAACGTTTCCTGAATAAAGATTTCCATATGCTGCATAAGTGTCTCAATCTTCAACACAGGAGTCACATGATTTCATCGTCACCCGTCCTCATCCCAACATGACATTCTTCAGGTCACCGTGCGTTACTCACACCTCACTCTCCGCCTATATATAATGTCTTTCTACCTCTGTATGTTAGAAGTGATCAAGGTCCCAGGACAGAAACGTTTTCTAATAAATATGTCATAGTGTTTGTTTACGTGTCTTTCTAAACCAACTTGTCGGTATTTATTACCAAGGTTTATACCACCCCCGAAACCCTCTCCTGGTATACTCCAGGTAAGGATGCACTATGTGTTGACTGAGTTGGTTTCTTTTTTTTTTTTTTAATTTTGTTGGTTTTAGTTTTTTTCAATTGTATAACAAACCCTGGGTAACCTAATTGTGCAACTCATGTGCGAAAGGTCGCTTTTACTTGGTCAAAACGATGAGACACTGATATTTACACCTGTCTTCTAAATATGATTTCTAGCTGATGGTGAAATATACAGGTCTCGTTTTCCTGCGTTTCAGTCCAACTTAGTTTTCACTTTTTCAGTATGGTGAGAATTTGAGGCGAGAAGCCCAGCTAAGGACCTTGATTGCATCACATGGCGAGTAAACCAACTGGACTCAACGAGAGATGACAAATTCAACTCCTATCCTCCTCTCTGGGATGACAAAGAGAGTCTCTCACCTGGTCGAGCCAGGAGAGCGGCAAGACCTTGCCACCAGCGATGTTGTGAGTATTCTCAATGCAGACGAGTGAAGTTACTGGCCAGTGGTCGTCGTCACCTCGTACGAGCCGTTGCATCTCCGCCAAACTGAAGGTTCCGTCAGGCAGGTTAGTTAAGACTCGAGGGTGAACTCCTCCCACCTGGGAAGAAAAATATAATGGCATATTCACACACACACACAAGCAATGAGGAACTGAGGAGACACTAAAGGGCATACTCAGAAGGAAAACCGGGAGATGCCCCAAGTAGAATACATATTACACCATGGCTACCCAACCTTTTCTATACCCCGCACCCCTAGGAAATGTTTGATTAATGTTGTGTCCCGTACAAAAGTAATATCACATTTGAAGATGAAGAAGTCAAATTTCTAATTTTTGAATCATAAGTCGAACCAAATACAGTACTGTGGGTGAACAAATTGCACTCGGAAAATAAGCTTTCAGTTCAGAACATAAAATGCAAATATATATTGAGAAAACGAAACTGTGCTCTTAATTAGGACTCTCTGTCGCACCTCCTGAACTGCCATCTCGCACCTCCCAACCTGGGGTGCACCGGGAGGGTGCGTCCCAGGTTGGGAACTCTTGCTTTACACAGAGGAAACATAGTCATAAACATTAAGGTGAGACAGAAGACACACTGAGGAGCTACTAACATACACACCAAGGACATAATCCGGCACTCGCTACAGGCAGACTAAGGAACATGAGCTAACAGAGAAAAGTTTGGGGGAGAGGGAAGAATGTAATATAAAATATTACCAGTAAAGTACCATGTTTACAGGTGACGCACTCGAGTGTACTGCAGATGCCCAAATGCATACGTGTAACGCACACACGTGCATATATAACGTACAAAGTTTTACATATACACATAATACATGCAACGTACAAATGCATACCGTAACACGAAAACAAACGTGTATCTGAACGTAGCATGATAAGACCACACTCTGCAGTACCTTATCAAATGGCTTAAGAATGTCGTTCTATGCACATAGTTAATTGTGCTACACAGTAACCTCAAATGTTACTCTATACCAGAAGGCTGGAAACATTATTTTATTTAGTGGTAATCAAAATATTTAATAATGTTAATGACATTCGTTCACATTAAACGTTACCATAATGTACTGAGATATAACTTAATACAGAGTCATGAATTATGATGAGAAATGCTTACATAAAGGAGTGTTATGACACATGTGTTACACAGTGTTATGACACATTCTACACAATGTTATGCCACACAATGATATGACATGTCACACGATGTTATGACGTCACACAATGTTATGACACATGCAACACAGTGTTATGATACTTGCAATACAATGTTTTGACACATACCACACAATGTTGTGACACATGCCGCATGTTATGAGACTTACCACACAATGTTGTGACATGCCACACAATGTTACGAGACATGCCACACAGTGTTGTGACACATGCCACACAATGTTGTGACACATGCCACACAATGTTATGACATGCCACACATTGTTGTGACACGTACCACATGTTATGAGACATACCACACAGTGTTGTGACACATGCCATACAATGTTGTGACATGCAACACAATGTTATGACACATACCACACAATGTTGTGACACATGACACACAGTGTTATGACACATGCCACATGTCATGTGGGGTTCGAAATGTGGATTGGGTAATAAACACTCGTAGGACGTTAAGTACGTACTGACTCACAGTGGTGCCTAGAGGGTGAGCGGCATTCAAATCATGCTAGGTCAGCTGTAACAGTGAGTAACAGTCGGTGATTCACACAGACGGTTGGTAGTGAGACATTACTACTGACACTGGTACTGGTTACTGGTAACTGGTACTACTGAGAGCGCGCCGACGCTAACGTATGGCGTCCCGACATACGCTATACAACTAAGCGACAGGTGTACGGCTGGGCTGATTCTATACAATGTCAAAGTACACAACAATTGAACAGTATAACATACATAAGGAAAATATCGGGATGGTAACTAATATAAAGGAACTTATTGTAATTACGAGGTATAATATAGCACAATTCACAAAATAGAGCGAAACACCAACGTCAAAGACCTGGGAGTGATCATGTCGGAGGATCTCACCTTCAAGGACGTAACATTGTATCAATCGCATCTGCTAGAAAAATGACGGGATGGATAATGAGAACCTTCAAAACTAGGGAAGCCAAGCCCATGATGACACTCTTCAGGTCACTTGTTCTATCTAGGCTGGAATATTGCTGCACACTAACAGCACCTTTCAAGGCAGGTGAAATTGCTGACCTAGAAAATGTAGAGAACCTTCACGGCGCGCATAACGGAGATAAAACACCTCAATTACTGGGAGCGCTTGAGGTTCCTAAACCTGTTTTCCCTGGAACGCAGGAGGGAGAGATACATGATTATATACACCTGGAAAATCCTAGAGGGACTAGTACCGAACTTGCACACGAAAATCACTCACTACGAAAGCAAAAGACTTGGCAGACGATGCAACATCCCCCCAATGAAAAGCAGGGGTGTCACTAGCACGTTAAGAGACCATACAATAAGTGTCAGGGGCCCGAGACTGTTCAACTGCCTCCCAGCATACATAAGGGGGATTACCAACAGACCCCTGGCAGTCTTCAAGCTGGCACTGGACAAGCACTTAAAGTCGGTTCCTGACCAGCCGGGCTGTGGCTCGTACGTTGGTTTGCGTGCAGCCAGCAGTAAGAGCCTGGTTGATCAGGCTCTGATCCACCAGGAGGCTTGGTCACAGACCGGGCCGCGGGAGCGTTGACCCCCGGAACTCTCTCCAGGTAAACTCCAGGTAAACCTACTTTGATTTTGGACGGCTTTGCTCGAGTATTAGTGACTTGTAAATTTTGCTGTTGATTTATGAAGTGTTTCACAGATTCTTCTAAAAACACTTTGAGCTAAGCTGGTATGAGTTGCTATGAAATCATCAGGGTTGTAATTTGCTTTTGGGCTAGAATATAAGAACTCATAAGGCAAACGTTTATCTACACCGTACAACACATAATGTGGAGTCCCACTGATAGAAACATTGTAAGCAGAATTTATGGCACACTGAACATCAGGTATAATTTCATCCCAAGTTTCACTGTTGGGATTGATAGTGGCTCTCAAGACATCAAGTACTTGCTTATTGGTTTCTTCCGCTAACCCATTAATGGCAGGATGATGAGGAACAATGGTGGATTTAGAGATCTTGTACAAGGTACACAAATTTTCAAGAATCTCATTACAGAATTCACCTCCATTATCTGTTACTAGGGACTTAGGAGTAGTATGCCTGCAGATAATGCGTTCTTTATACGCTTTAGCTACTGTCTCAGCAGTCTAATCTGCAATAGGAACTAACTCACAATATCTGGTGAAATGATCTACCATAACACACAGATGTTTATTACCCTGGAGGGAACATTGGAAACTAGTTAACAGCTCTAGTGCAACTCTTTCCCATGGTTCGCTAGTAGTTGGATACACCTGGATTGGATTAGGACCATTAACATTACCTTTATGTTGCATGCATATACTATATTTCTTAACATACTCAGAAATATCAGTTGCCATACGAGGCCAAAAGTATTTCAATCTGGCTTGTTTTACAGAACGATCCATACCAGGGTGCGCAACACCTGGTACATCGTGAACTAGCTGTAGAGCTACGTTCACTAGTGACTGTGGAATTACTAACTGGTAAACTCTTCTTCTAGGAGTACCCAACTCGGCTGTTCGATACAGTAATTCTTGGTTCATGGCAAATCACTTATGGGTGCTGGTGGCTTCACCAGCAGGAATCGAATCACACCTGAAGCATCAATGGAATCACACCAGACCACATGGGATCTGTTCTTTGAGCATTCTTTACGTCCTCGGCAGTAAATGGAGGGTCTGCAGTTACTATACTAACATGTCACGATAAAGCATCTGAGGCTACATCTGACTTGCCAGGTAAGTGTTCAAAGGTAGGATTGAACTCTTGGATAGTCAAGGTTCTGGAATAAAGGTATCAGTGAACCATGGTCTGTCAAGACATGAACAGGTTACTGATAATGTCTCGGAAGTGCTTTAAAGACCATACTATTGTTAAAGCTTCTTGTTCAGTTACTGTATAATTACGTTCAGTCTTCATAAGAACTCGGCTAGCAAATGCAACTGCGTTGTACTTGCCATCAGTCTTCTGAGCTAGTACGGCACCTATGCCAACTGAACTAGCATCAGTTGTCAGATACAAGGGCTTAGAAAACTCTGGAAATTTCAAAATTGGAGCAGATGTTAGCTTTTCTTTGAGAGTTTGGAATGCTCTTTCTTGAAGGAAGGTCCAAACAAAAGGAGCATCTTTCTTAAGCAACTCAGTTAGAGCTGCTATGGAAGAAAAAATGGTAATGAAAGATATATAAAAACCTACTAAGCCCATGAAGGATCTTACAGCATAAGCAGTTTTGGGAGATAAAAAATTTAATACTGCAGTTACTTTACTTTGGTAAGTCGTAACCCCTCTAGGAGTGACTACGTGACCAAGAAACTTTATTTCTGATCTGAAAAATTGACATTTAGACAGTTTGATCTTTAAATTGCCTTCTTCAAGCTTGCCAAGTACTACATCAAGTCTTTTGAAGTGTGTATCCATGTCTTTAGACATGACGATTACGTCATCTAAGTACACCATAAGCGCATTACCTATGAGACCTCTAAAGATTTTCGTCATGAGCCTTGAGAACGTGATAGGGGAGGATCGTAACCCGAAGGCCATATGGTGGAAGTAATAATGACCTGTAGGAGTGGAGAATGCGGTTATCTCTTGGCTGTCCTCGTGAAGAGGGACTTGCCAAAACCCTTGTAACAAGTCCAGGGTCGAGAAGACTTTGTTATCTCCGATGTTACATAAACGATCACCAAGTACAGGAAGTGGGAAGCGATCTGGAATAGGTTTTGCATTTAACTTTCTAAAGTCAATCACTGGGCGCCAAGTACCATCCTTCTTAGGTACTAGAATCAAGGGCGTATTCCAAGGTGAATTGCTAAGTGCAATAACTCCATCATCAAGCATCTAACTGATCAGTTCTTCTGCGACAGCAACTTGTGAATAAGGCATTCTGTATGCAGGTACGTAGATAGGTCTGGTGCCAGGTTCAAGTGGGATACGATGGGACAATAAGGCAATGGTAAGGCAATGGCTTTAGGACGTTTGTTCAGCAGAGTCAACAAATGCTTGACCTCGTCTGGGAAGTCAGTGGGAGCTAAGTCTTTCTCCTCTACTGGTGGAATGGATTGATCCAGTGCAGAAATAGCACCGACCCACTGGTCATGGGACAACTCATCCTCTACCTGAACAGCGTAAGGATAGTGAACAAGGTCAACAAGATTGGTATTTGCTCTGAGACGAACACTGTGACCAGAAGTGTTAGCAAGGAAGAAATGGATTTTGCTATCTCTTACAACATGCAAGGATGGTTCAACAAATAATCCCTTTGCTTTGCAGGAATCACTGTCAACTAGAACGTTATCACCATCTGGAACGCTAGGAACAACACCAGACACTCTAGTGAAGGCACTAGCCGTGACAGAAACATCTTTCTGCAGACGGCATGTAACATCAATAAGAGATGGCATTACTAGTTTCAAGTTATCGTTTTCCGACAAGGCGTCCCCTGTGGAGAAACTACAACTTGAACTGACAGACATTGCAGGGATAGGCTCAACACTCAAGGTAGTCTGAGGTTTCTCGGACACTTGAGGCAACTGGACACTATCTTGCATGCCTGAAGTTGGAGGTACACAAACAGGAGTGACAGGATCACCAGTGCCTGACCGCTTGGGTACGCTACTGGAAAATGCACTGGCTTGCAAGGACTTAATCCGAACTTCGTACTCTGCGGCAGTATTGCAGATCTCGGATCCAAGCTGGTAACCCCAAAATGGTACGATCAAGTCTTCAATTTGGGCATGCCATCAGTAATGGTCGAGCACAATGCGTAAGTCTCTCATGGAAGCAAATCCCAGTAGAAGGTCACCAGGGAAAGTAATATGGTCGACAAAAGGTGAGAGAAGTACGACCTCGGACATGCAGGTGAGAACCAGCTACTCCACTAAGGTAGGACACATGAGTCGGTTCTACGAGAAGGACATGTCGTAACTGCTTATCCTTAAACAAACTAGACCTGATAATATTGACTTGCGCAACAGAGTCCATGAACATATGAACGGGCGCATTATGAACAGATGCTTGTACTATGGGACCTATTGTTGCATTGGAAGTTATGTGCCAACAAAAAGGAGGGTTTTCATCAGAAAAGATTTGTTCCACTTCATCTCCAAAATCATCTACGTCAGAGACGTGTGAAGAAACATCAGCAGCTGGATTGTCATTCTCGAGACTGCTTAAGGCATCAAAGGAATTGTGAACGGGGATGGTGTACTCATTATCACCTACTGTCACCATGGGGCAGTTTGACTGGGTCGCTCGAATTCCCCGGAATTGAAAGAATGAACCTGGTTCAGGTTAGTCTGAGAACCACGACCTTTGTTTCCTCTCCTGGTTCTGCAGTTGGAACGGCCACGGAAAGATCTAGAGTACTGACGGTTGTAGAGAGCATTGCACTCAGATGTGTCATGTCCATGTATTCTATGATAAGTACAGTAAGGCAGATCCGACTGGTACTCATCATCAGTACGACGTCTCTTCGGGTGACTATCAAGACAAATAATTGCAATACGGCCACGGAAACCACAGTTGTAACAAGTCCGCTGACTATGGTTACTCAATGTACTATGCTGAAATTGAAATAAAAAACATGTAACTAATTCTGCAGAAGTAATAAAAATGTCTTAGATACACTGCAAGAGGAAGACAACTCATTGTAAGGGACTGCTGAGCAAGATAAGGAAACACATTGAAATTTATAAGAAGTAAAAAATATTACTATAGGCTGAATTAAATTCAAAATGAGCTGTCAGTACACTTACTTCAATAAAGAAATTTGCTAATAAAATTGTAAATCAATACAAAAAGTATAAAATAAAATCACTAAATTGTATGTAAAGAGAAATAACTGGGAAATTTAAATATTTTGTACGAGTGCATAAACAAAAGTAAACAATGAAAATATCAATGAAAATAATATGGAAAACAGAACACGCAAACAATAATGAACTGAGAATAACAATGCACTGAATACTAACTACTGAAATGATACAAGAATAACAATGCATAAAAATATCAATAAAAAGAAAATAATTCACTGCAGAACAAATGCAATAAAATAAGGCGCAGAATTAATCAATTTAGCTATAAAAGTTGCACTGGGAAATGCAGGTTAAATAATAAAAATAAAAATATGAAGAAAGATTGGTTGAACACTTTAATTCTTAATTGTAAATTAGACAAAACAATTTACTCAGAGCAAAGATAACACTTTAAGTTAAAAAGAAGTTAAAATTACACTAAGAGTGAATTTGTTCAAAGAAATGTGAATATGAATAAAAATGACACAATATACAGAACGGGAAGTGTAACACTTACAAGTGCAGGGCACAAACAAGGATTATTCACGTCACTTATCGGTTAATTGTTTTTGCAACAAAATCTTGCTGTGACACATATGAAAGTATGCTCTCGCTGCGAAAAAAATCAAGGGAATGAGACACTGCTTGACATAGAAAAATGGTACATACAGAAATAAATGGGTAATTTAGTATACTGGGGTGAATAACACTGCATGAATTGCAATAATGAAAAATACTGTAGAAAATGAATACACAATGCTGAAAGAACACAAGGTAAAAAATTGAATTACTTCACACAGAGTAAATGACTGGGGTAAGGAATAAAATACTGCACACAATAAACTTGTACACTACAAAATACTACAGGCAGAGAAGTAGCATAAAAGAACACAGATAAAAATATAAAAATTAAACACGAAAGATGACGATAACACTGAAAAATAACGCAAAAATAAGGAGTCAAAGAAAACACTGAGTCTACACTGAAAACACAAGGCTTAGAGTACACAAGAAATTCACTGTAAATGTCTCACACACGCAAACGTCTGTAAATGCAAAGAAAAACGTCTCTAAACAGAAAATTATCACTGAAGTCTGGAAGCAGTGGTGGACGGTGATGTTTGGTGGTGAACGGTGAGGGAACCACGGCTGTGCGGGACACCACTGGAAGAAACTCGAAGAAATGCGCATAACCTGGAGACTCACACACCTAAGCTTTAACAGTGGCACTCAGGTGAAACACAGGTGAAATATAGAGGAAGTACAGCTCTTGACCCAGTGTGTGGCACTCTCCACCACAGGTGGAGAGTGCCACACGGAACAACCTGGCGGAACAACCTGGCCCACTCTGCGCACTCACTGCCACACACTAAATCTCACCACTCACGAGAAAACCCAGGTGGCTTAAGCCACAATATGCCACAGGGATGGTGAATACCACTCTTACGAGCATCCAGCTGGTAGCACAAAGCGATATTGGAGACAATACTTCAAGAGGAGCTTGCTGGGTTGTCTTGCTGGCTTAACCCCCGATAATGTTTGACTGGAATACGTATAACGATGCACCCAGCATGAAGGAGCAGGTGGATGACAGGAGACAGGCTGGATGATGGAATGAGGCAGGCTGATGAAATGGCGTACTCTCCCACTTTCTGGCTTACTGGCTGGCCTCGGATTGACTCCTCGAAAGTTAAAGCAAAAGGCACACTAACCATAAGCTTGAGAGGCGGCTGCAGCTGGCTTTGCAGGCTGGAGCGACACAGGGTGGAGGTGGGTGAGGGAAGAAGCGGGCTGGCTGGAGGTGATAGGTACAGAGACATCCCCTCTGACCTGAGGGCACCCACAAACAATCTTCTAATGGCGGAAATAACCGGAAATCCACGCCCACAACGCTGCCACCAAAGTGTCACGTGGGGTTCGAACCGTGGATTGGGTAATAAACACTCGTAGGATGTTAAGTACGTATATTAGATGGAATATGTGGGGAGCACCAAAGCCTGACTTGCTGTCTGTACTAACGTCTCACTTGAACTGACTCACAGTGGTGCTAGAGGGTGAGCGGCATTCAAATCATGCTAGGTCAGCTGTAACAGTGAAGTAACAGTTTGTGATTCACACAGACGATTAGTAGTGAGACATTACTACTGACACCTGTACTGGTTCCTGGTACTACTGAGATAACCGGTACAACTGAGACACACAGTGTTATGACACATGCCACACAATTTTGTGACATACCATGCAATGTTATGACACCACACAATGTTGTGACATGCCACACAGTCTTATGAGACATGCCACACAATGTTGTGACACATGCCACACAATGTTATGACACATGGCACACAATGTTATGACATGCCACACAATGTTTGTGATATACCACACAATGATATAACATATTTCACTATGTTATATAGCATTCAACACAATTGCACATGCTATGTTAAGACATATCTCGCAGTGTTTTGAAACATGCCAAAGAATGTTATGAAATGCCACGAAATGTCATGTTGCATGTTATACAATGTTAAAACATGATTAGCAGTGTTATGAAACATGCCATTCAACGGAGTCGCATGTTGCTGAGTGCTACGAGGTTGAGTACTGCGTCTATCTGCTCTGCTTCCGGTTTACTGAGATTGTGGTCAGCAGCCTGATCTCGTCCGTCCAGCTAGTGGAAGATCTTCGCCAAGACTGACTGGGAGACGATGGCTGAGGGCCAGCGTTGGGTCTCACTGGTATTTGAAACTACACTAACCATTACTGCTTAACAGTCGAAGGGGTTTAAACAGCTGTCACACTAGTATACTGCTGACACTGTGACATGCCACGAATAAATACAGTAAGCAGCCATGTCAGAAAACTAGACAAATAAAATGCCCTCTTTTTTAGAGATTTTTTTAATTGTGCGCCCCAATGGTGGGTAAATATATCCCCACCTTCTCACACTGTTCTTTACTCTCCCACACCATCACACACCACACTAGGCGGAGAAGCTGGTCTTATGAATTAACTGCCCCCTGAATGACCCGGTGACGTGACTCGGTAACGTGACTCACCTGCGAGATGCCACCTTGTTCATAAATATGGATGTGGCTGAGGTGTCCGAGGAGAACCTCACTACCTCGGCGGTGGCAGTGGTGGAGAACTGTGGGTAATGGAAGATATTGTCAACAGTGGGGGTCTGTGTGTTGTGGAAGTTGTTAATGTTGGTTGTGGTTGCGAAATGTGGAAAGCAGACTGTAGTGGTTGTTAGTGGTGGTGAAAAACACCTTTTAATTGCATTATGCATCCTTCAATGAAGGACCACGCTCGTGAGGGTCATTCAGTAATTAACTGAAGAAGGAAAACAATGATTTGGTCAACAAAAGATTAAAATTCATCATAAAACCCTTGTCTAGCATTATTCTGCACTAGAGCATAGAAGTCTGACTTCACTTAACGTAATCGAGTTCTATCATTTCACATTATCCTTACACTTCTCATTTATACTATATAATGTACGCGTGAAACTAATATATATATATATATATATAATATATATATATATTAATATATATATATATATATATATAATATATATATATATATATATATATATCCTAGGTAGAAGGTTGGTAGACAGCAACCGCCCAGGGAGGTACTACCGTCCTTCCAAGTGAGTGTAAAACGAAAGCCTCTAATTGTTTTACAAGATGGTAGGGTTGCTGTGTCCTTTTTTCTGTCTCATAAACATGCAAGATTTCAGGTACGTCTTGCTACCTCTATTTACACTTAGGTCACACTACACACACATGTACAAGCATATATATATACACACCCCTCTGGGTTTTCTGCTATTTTCTTTCTAGTTCTTGTTCTTGTTTTTTCCTCTTATCTCCATGGGGAAGTGAAACAGAATTCTTCCTCCGGAAGCTATGCGTGTTTTAAGAGGCGATTAAAATCCCGGGAGCAAGGGGCTAGTAACCCCTTCTCCTATATAAATTACTAAATTTAAAAAGAGAAGCTTTTGTTTTTCTTTTTGGGCCACCCTGCCGCGGTGGGATTCGGCCGGTTTTGTGTGTATATATATAATATTTATATATATTATATAAAATATTTATAATAATTTTATATATATATATATTAAAATATTTATTATATATATATATATGTGTCCCTCAATCTATTCAAGATTGATGGATGAACACATCGACTCGAGGTTTTAGGGACTGATTACCCTTTATTTTTTCCCTCCTGTTCTTCAAGGTTTTTCCTACGTATGGACTGATGAAGCCACTGTGTGGCGAAACGTTTCCTCAATAAAGATACCCAAGTGTTGCACATGTGTTTAATTTATCAATATTATATATATATATATATATTTATATATATATATATATATATATTTAATATATATTATATAAATATATATATATTATTTATATAATATATATGGTTGTAGGTTGGTTGACAGCAACCCCCCGGGGAAATATACCGTTTCCCGCCCGTGATGTGAAACAAAAACCTGTAATTGTTTTGCTGTGGTAGGATTGCTGGTTTCTTTTTCTGTTTTAAAAAAACGCTAAAATAACAGGGATTCTTGCTACTCCCACTTACACTTTGGTCACACTTCACAGACACGCACATGCATATATATATATAATACATCTAGGGTTTTTTTCTTTTTTAAATAGCTCTTGTTTTTTTTTATTTTTTCTATTTTCCAGGGGGGGAAATGGAAAAAAATCTTTCCTCCGTAACCTTTTTGGTGTCGTATGAGGCGACTAAAAAAGCCGGGAATGGGCAGTAACCCCCTTTTCCTGTATACAAATTTCTAAAAAGAGAAGAAGAAAAAAACTTTATAAAAAATGGGGGTTTCTTTAAAAGTGCGTGGTGTAGTGCGGAG